AGCGGCCAGCCCAGACGCGTCTGGGCTGTTCGCTGCCCACGTGCTCCACGGCTTTGCTCTGCTTTGCTCTCCGTCCCCCTGGTCTGGTCGGATTACGTAAGTCGGATCCGCGTAACTCGGGGACTGCCTGTGTGTATATATATATATATATATGTGTTTTATTTGTATAATGATTTGAGAATATTTGAGCTAAAAGGTGCTATATAAAGTTAATTTGTAAAGAAAAGGCTAACATAATAGAACAGAATATGTGTTAATTACAATCTATAATTCACTTGAACAATGATTATGTAGGAAGTTTAGTATTATACAGTTGGTGGGAAGTGGAGGAGTGGAGTTTTTGTTTGGTTTTTATTTTCTTGCAGTGGTGAACTTCCATTATAACACGAAAAAGATTAAAATAGTTTGTTTTTTGCAATTGTGATTTGTTATTTATTGGTATATGCAGGTTATTCAACAGGCCTTGCATCGTCCCCCTAGTTCCGCGGCTCAGTATCTTCAGCAGATGTATGCAGCCCAACAGCAGCATCTGATGCTACAGACTGCCGCTCTACAACAGCAGCACTTAAGCAGTACTCAGTTTCAGAGTTTGGCAGCTGTTCCACAGGTGAGACTTAAACATGTTGTGATGTTCCAATTAGGACACCCAGAACAGCGAGCCATTGTGATACCCCTTTTCCTCAGCAAGAGTGAGTTTTGCTGGAGATCAGACTGCGTGTCTGTTCTCTACCAAAGAAACTTGTCTTCTTCACCAGCAAACTCCTCAAGACTCTGCCAGGTAACATTGCTTTGCAGGTATCATTAGTGAGCTGCAGTTCCCAAGTTCTCTGCAATGTGTGGTCCCTCTGAGGGGACACTCTCAGAAATTATTAAGTTCGTTGCCTCTAAAGAGACAGTGTACATAGTAGTTTGTAAATGTAGCTTAAGATTGACATTTACTTCTGTATAAGAGCACTGAAATGGTTCATAGTAAACAATAGGAAAAGTTTATTAACGAAGAGATTGTACAGGTAGGACCTCTCTGGCCTGGAGCTCTCTCATCTGGCAAGATTCATGGTCTGGCAGGCTGGGAGTCCAGAGGCTGGGACTGGTTGCTGGGAGTGCAGCCAAAATGGGAGCACAGTGGCCAGGAGGCTGGTAGTACCCCCAAGAGAGCCTAGAGGCTGGCACCAGGGGGCCAGAATTGACCTCCCCTTATCCAGCAGATTCTCTTATTCGGGTCTGATCAGGTCCTGAGGGTGCTGAACTAGGGAGGTTCAACTTGTAGTGATACTAAGCAACAGTTGGTATGGTTACTAAGGTATAGTAATATACAAAACAAAGCATACTTTCTATTGATTAAACCTTAATTTTAGCAAGATGCAATCTTTGCCAAAACAGTTTTCTTACTTACATCAGGTTACTAGTATTCGCAACCTTTCAAATGATGGGATCCAACTTTCAGAAGATGAAAGGATACTTTATACTATGTTACCTAAGTGATGAATAGCTAACCGGTCTTTTTGCTCCCCTTATGTTACCCAAAACCCATTGTCTGTGCCCTAAGAGCCAGGAGGGCATCCTGGGGTACAGATTCTATCTTCTGGTGAGCTCACTAACTTTCTTCTTCCATTTGTTTTCCTTTAATGGTTTTGTGTATCTTACATATAAATTTACTTCCATTGTTCTTTGCTTGCCATCAAGAAGGTCAGACAGCCAAATACATATTCATTTGTTTAGGCTGTCAGCTTAGTGTATGCATTGCCTCCCAAGTGCATTATAAGAGGCACACACTTTGTATACAAACTGTACATATGTCACACACTGATTTTTGGGACCAACGTATCATCAGTTTACATATAATACATTACAAAACATAGTTTAGTGACACACATTACCCACAACACACTGTTGTCATAATATGTGTCAGGCCTGACATGAATTACAGTATTACATTGAGGGCTCCCAGGGACATATGTCTAAAACTAGGATGAAAACCATAAACCAGTACTAAATCTAATAACAGCTTTTTTTGTGTGTGTCTAATGATCTCACAGTAATTCATTGTAGTATTTTAATGATTTCATTCTTCTAATTGCTTCTGTGCAAACCCACCTGGGGGGGGGGGTGTTGTTGTTGTTGTTGTTTTTTTGTAAGAGTGTCAGTATATTCCCATCCAATTTTCTGGGTGTTCATTACATATGTTAAAATACACTATTCAGATAATTATGTGGGACAGCAAATGACTTATTGATGTTAACAGGAATAATCCAAACCTCTCCAACTTTCAGTCCCCCTTTACCAAAATCTGGATAAGGGGAAGGAACATAATACTCCTCAAAACAGATAAAATAAAAATAGTGTTTTATATCTTATTTTGGTACTTAATTTTAGTGAGTCATGCTGAGGATTGGCATACATAATAATGTTACAACAGACCTTAAGTTGTAATTCTGAAATTGGAAAAGTGCAAGACAATGGTAAATTCTATTCCCATTTGCAAAGTTTTTAACATTAATCATCACTAGAAGCCTTATCCAATGCTTATGGAAGTCAATGGAAAGACTCTCATTGACCTCCTCAGTTGTTGGAATGGGAACAGTATATTGTGAGAGAGGCAATCATTTTAAATATGGAGAAGTTCGGACATGAAGAGATGAAGACCTCAAGGCTACACAGCTTTATTTTGTCAGACACAGGATTAGGGCTCCGAAGTCACTGGATCAGTCATGTATCCTCTCCACTGAATCATGCTGATTGCCTGAGACAGACATTGAATCATGCTGATTGCCTGAAGCAGATAATTTTAACCTAAAATTCAAATGACTCAGAAGAGGGTAACTGATGTTGCATCCATGTTCAGTAAGGGACCTTGAATTTAAAACAATTAAATATAATCCACACAGGTCTTGACCTCGTAATCCTTACTCATGAGAGTATGTATTAAAACAAATGGGGATGTCTTATGTGAGTAAGCACAAAAGTATTGTATTCTTAATTAGAAAATAGATCATGTTTCCTTGCTGTGCATCTATTTATTAGGTTGTTATCCACCTTGCAGGTAACCCTTCCTCTCCCATCAGCCCCAAAAGTAAAGCAAGCTTGTAATGCAAATAAAAGCAAATAGTTGTAAACAAATTCAAACTTAGCCAACAATAGAAAGAGGAATGAAATTATTAAACAACTGTGACAGGCTGAAGTTGTAAATATTGAGGAAAACCTTCATTAATTTACACAAAGTGCTACTAAAACTTAATTTTGATTTTTGTCCATTAAATGGGTCTCTATAGGTTTTAGTTTTGGTATTCAGAATTATATGGCAGTAAAAATCATCCCAAATACAATTATAGAAATGCACGTGCACTTACAATTTAGAATTGAAAGTCTGATATTCACTACCCTATATTGTGAGAGGTTTTTGTCTTAGCCATAA